TAAGACATGACAAAATAATAATAATTTATAAATTATCAAGGATTCATGAGGGAGAGGGGTAGGGAGGGAGGGGAAAATGAGGCGCTGATACCAAGGGCTCAAGTAGAAAGCAAATGTTTTGAGAATGATGATGGCAACATATGTACAAATGTCCTTGACACAATGAATGTGTGGATTGTTATAAGAGCTGTAAGAGCCCCAATAAAATAACTTATTAAAAAAGACAGTGAAAAAGCCGAGTGTATGATGATTTGTGAAATATGTGCGCTGGCACTAGCGTGGTTGGCATGTTCTCTCCCAGCTGTGCGTTGGCCAGCCCAGTCTACGCATGCTGGGACTTAGGTCTCGGTGGGTGACACTGGCTTCTCCAAGTGTGTGGACCAAGAAGGAGCACAGACATCGGGTTAGTCCCAGGCTCCTCCAGCTTGGTGACAAAGCACGTTGTGCTTTAAAGGGGAATAGTATGTAATGAAAGACTACTTCTAAATTTATAAAAATTGATTTTGTAGCCCTTGGGGAAGACCCTGTGTGGTCCTCTCAAGAACTCTGGGTGTTAAGACGATTGCCCCTTTCTGTATATAAGGAAATAGTCCCAAGAACGTAGGGTGCCTGCTTGTCCACGGAGCATGAAAAGCACGCGCAGAGCCCAGCCGTCTCTGTAGCTCCGCACTGCTGTGTAAGTGTGTTCTTGCCCGTCGGTCCCTGCTCTGTGTCTGCAGCTTTATAAAGTTTTCAGCAAGCTCACATTCCAGAAAAGACCAACAGTAACTCTTGATTCCTGGTGATTTTTTCAGAAGCAATATAATGTGTTGTGTTAAGGGGGTGCCCCAGGCCTTGCTGGTGGTTTGGATAAAGCACAGTATGTGTAACCTTTCTTTTAAAAATTCTCCAAATTCTGAAATTAATAACCTACCTGGCCCCAAGTGCCACCCGTGCTGTGCCTGCTAGAGCCAGGGCCTGGGTCCTCTGTGCGGCTGGGGCTCCATGCTCACCTGCCCGCTCTCCTCGTCTGTTTCTCCGTAGTATGCTGGATGATTTCGCTCACGAGTTGGAGAGCACGCAGTCTCGTCTGGACAACGTGATGAAGAAACTTGCAAAAGTGTCTCACATGACCAGTGGTACGTACACTCGGGGTGTAGAGTCCAGAGAGTGCAGTCCTGTGTGCTCATTGCGATGTCTCCTGTGGAGATTGTCGGGAAGCTCTGGGCTCCGTGGAAGACGAGTGCACAGGCCTTCCCTTCCCAGCTGCCTCCGTGGGAAAGGTCTCAGCAGAGCGGGCCACTCTCCTGCACACGGTTGCTTCCCAGGTGATTTCCTTAGTGGAGCAACAGCTTCCTCTGCAGTGACAGAATCTTTTCACTATTTTTTTCCCCTTAATTATTTTTCCTTGCCAACATGGGGCATTTAAAGCCAGGTATTGTTTCTCCCAAACTGACTTTATTTTCTGCCAGACCCACTTTAAGTGGTGGTCTTGAAGTGCAGCCTGAACTGCTGCAGCAGGCTTGCTCTCCAGGTGAGCCACGAGGAGGCCCCCTCATCCCATGAGTATAGGAGGAGGGGGCCCCGTGGGTCTTCACTTTGGGGGATCATGAAAGCTCTCTTTCCCTAGCTACTGCACGCAGCATTGGGTCCCAGAAAAGGCAGCCTCTCTTCCTTTCTCGAGGCACGCTGGCCGTGCTGTGGGTTAGGCGTCGGACTGCTGACTGTAGGGTCTGCTCCTGAGAAGATCTGCATCGCGTGGCTGTGCGTCAGAGCGGGCTCGGTGGCCATGGGTGGGGTGGGTGGGGTTTCTGGTAGTTTCTCTGTATCTGGTGTGGGTCCAGTGGGTGGAGGGAGGAGCTGGAATGCTCCTCGGGGTTCTAGCACCACAGCGGTCCTTCTCCCACTTGCCCGATGAGAGCTTC